CTCTCTTCTTGGTCAAGTGGGCAAAGAGAAAGAAATTTCGCCCCAAGCTGACAATGGCCCTCTATGAGTATGCCCTTGGGTTACCGATTGAGCGATCCCTCATTCCCGATGTAAGGTTCGATTTGAATATGCGCGATGCAGATGCTCAGCTCTCATTCCGTTTCGACGTTGGTGGTGTGCTACAACTGACCTGTTCGCTGGGGATTCCCAATGCCATCGTAACGAGCTGTCGCTACCGTATTCTTGGCGTAGAGCAATGTGTATACTGCTCCGTCGTCTACGCTACCCAGTAACATACTATGACATGGTGGCCACTTTTGGGAGGTCCAGGGAGCAGTTGTGCCGTATGTTCAACTATATGGTCTCCTTTGTATACAGTCAATGGAAAGAGACGATCTACTGCAACACTCGAATTGTTCGCGCTCGTATTGCTCAGTACGCCGCAGCAATCCATGCCAAAGGAGCCCCCTTAACTCACGTGTGGGCCTTTCCCGATGGCACAAAACTCGAGTCTTGTCGCATCAGTGCTTCCTCTGTTGGTGCAGTTGGTTTGAACTTGCAGAAACGAATTTATTCAGGCCACAAACGTAAGCAGTGCCTGAACTATCAAGGCCTTACTACACCCGACGGCTTGTGTATTCACTTCTTTGGCCCATTGGAAGGCTCCCGCCACGATGACACCTTGCTTCGGGTCAGTAAGTTGCAAGATTCTTTTGAAAACAACTCTGACATTTTCAACGGATACTACATTTATGGTGACCCAGCATACCCCATCTCCAAGTGGATCATTTGTGGTTTCCGTGGGACGAAATTGTCTGAGGAAAAAGAATTGTTCAACGCTGCAATGAGTCGCGTCAGACAGGGCGTTGAGTGGAATTTTGGGCGTCTAAAAACTTTGTGGGGATTTATCACCTTCAAAATGCAGCAAAAAATCATGTTGTCCAATGTTGGCACAATGGTCTTGGTGGCAATGTTGTTGACAAACTGCAACTGCTGCTACCATAGAGGTAATCAAATCTCAACTTACTTCAACTTACTGCCACCGACACTCAAAGAATATCTAACGAAGGAATAAAATCAAATGCGATTATTCATCGGATCATGATTGTTGATTAAATCCTACTTCTTGCTCTCTGCAATAGCCTTGAACATGCCCAACATTTTTTCGTTGTCGATTCGCGCCAGTAGAATTTGGTGTTCGCGCTCGGCCTTTCTTTCCTCGCGATCCAGCTCTCGCTGCTTTATCTCGGACTCAAGCTTAAACTGTTGGAAGAGCAGCTCTTTTTCACGCACCGCCAACTCGCGCTCGCTCTCAGCCTCAATGGCAGCAGCCAAGCTGTTTCGACGATTGTCGAGGGCTGGCTTCTTCTTGAGCTCGTCAGGATCGTTCTCGTTGCGACGTTTCATTGTACGCATGGCCATGTCGCGAACAAGGAGCGCTCCTTGTTCAGCCTTTTCCTTCTCGACTACATTGTTGCTCGTCTTCTGCGATGCTACATCTCTCGCATCGTCGAGGAGAGCAACAACGTCGTCGAGAAGGATGTGCTTCTTCTTCATCGGTGCCGGGACCCTTGCCAAGGCCTTGTCGAAACGACGATGCTCTTCGACAAGTGCAGAAAAGCGGTTTTGCACCTTTCTGCCGTCCACCACCCTGGTGAAGTGGTCACAAGACATCATCGTGTCCGCCATGGCCTGCCACGCTTTCGTCAATTGGCCTTTTTCAGCCCCGAACGGCCGGTCCATGGCAGCTTGAATTAGCAGGACCTTGTCCTCCTCCCACGACCAGTTGCGGCGCTTGTCACTTTGCGCCATGGCTTGTGCCTTTTGGGAATGGGAGACTCTCCCACACAATCGACCAATTCTACGGGAGGAATAACAAAGTCTTAGAGGTTTCCCATACAATTATTAAATATGGGAGTGTCTGGGAATGCGATCGCGAACACAGCGTTTGCGAAACCTCCCTAATGCCAACACCTCTCCTCCCGCAGCGCGTCCAGCAGCGACATAGCAACGACACCTGCATAAAGTGGAAGATCACGTACGAGAACTCGACGCTTTCTGCGAGTTCTATTAGCGGTTTAGAAGGAATACCTCGTACAACATGGTTGACGTGACTCCGTAAATAGGACCGCTACTCGTTGTACTCGATTCTGGAGCCGCTGCCAGGAAACTCGACGAGGGTTTGCTGACCGCTTGATGACGAGGTGATAGGCCCTCTGAAGGCAAAGGTGCGTGCCGTTTGGTTGGCGACAACTCTAACACAGTTTGGCTGACCCCGACCGCCACGATCATGGCAGGCCGACCGTCGAGACAATCGGCTTGGCTGATCTTGGTCGCGCAGGTCACCAATCCTTGAAAAAGTATTGTGTAGGGGACGACCCCACAGAGCCCGACCGTCCGCAGCCATGGCGACACTGCCGTGTTCTGTGACAGTGTCGCCATGACCAAGGACGGTCGAGCAAGTCAGACTTGACAGTGCTGGAGGAGTCCTTCGAGACCAACACAGGTCTTGGTGGCACATCACATGATGGTGCCTGGGTTGGTCTGGGCAAGCCGTTAAATATGTTTTGAGCTTTTTGGACGAATCAAACGAGATGCAGACGTACCGGGTGTGCTTTCACAACTTCAACATTGAAGTGTATTGCAAAAGCCAGGCCAACACTTTACCTGCTACGTCG